CAAAGTCCTTTATCAGTGCAAGCAGGTTTTTGATAGATTCTCTTGGATTTTCAAGGTATAGGATTATATCATCAACAAATAGGGATACTTTCCTCTTTTCCTATTTAGATACCCCTGATCTCCTCCTCTTGTCTAATTGCTCTAACTAGGACTTCCAATGTAATGTTGAACAAGAGGGGTGAGAGTGGGCAGCCTTGTCTTGCTTCAGTTTTCAGGGGAAATGTTTCCAGTTTCGTCCATTTAGCAATATGCTAGCTGTGGATTTATCGTAGATGGTGCTTACCATTTTGAGGTATGTTACTTCTATACCTAGGTATTGAGGGTTTTTATCAAGAAGGGATGCTGGATCTTATCAAAGGCTTTTTGTGCATCTGATGATATAATCATGTGCTTCTTGTTTTTATATCTGTTGATGTATTTCATTACATTTATGGTCTTGTGAATGTTGAACCAACCCTGCATCCTGGTGATGAAGCCTACCTGGTCGTGGTGGATGATTTTTGAGATGTGTTATTGGATCCAATTTGCTAGAATCTTGTTGAATATTTTTGCATCTATGTTCATAAGGGATACTCGCCCATAGTTCTCTTTTTTTGTTGGTTCTTTACCCAGTTTGGATATCAGTGTAATATTAGCTTTGTAAAATGATTTGTGGAGAATTCCATCTTTTTCAATTGCCTGGAATACTTTCAGTAGGATTGGTATCAGCTCCTCCTTGTACGTTTTGTAGAATTCTGCTGGAAAGCCATCTGGTCCAGGACTTTTTTTTTGGAGGTAGTTTTCTTATGACATAGTCAATTTCCTGGGTTGTTATTGGTCTATTTAGTGTCTCAGTGTCTTCTTGTTTCCCTTGGGAGGCTGTATGATGTCAGAAAGTCCTCCATTTCATTTAAGCTATCGAGCTTGTTTCCATACAGGTGTGTATAGTAATCTTCTGTATTTCTTTGGGGTCCGTTGTGATTTTATCTTTTGTATTTCTGATTGTTATTATTTGGGCTTTTCCTCTCTTTTTCTTGGTCATCTGTCTAGGGGTCCATCAATCTTGTTAATTCTTTCAAAGAACTATGTTTTTGTTTTGTTGATGTTTTCTATGATATTTTTATCTTTTTCTGTCCCGTATTTGGGCTCTTACTTTGGTGAACTGGATTCTTCTGCTAAAGTTAGGGTTTTTGTAGTCCTGTTTTTCTAGCTCCCTTAGGTGATTTGTTAGGCTGTTAACTTGTGATCTTCCCATTTTCTTTATGTGTATTTTTGGAGATATAAATTCCCCTCTCAGAACTGTTTTCATGACATCCCAGAGGTTTCAGTAAGATGTTCCTTCATTTTCATTTGTTTCTAGAACTTTTTAAATTTCTGTTTTGATTTTGATGTTGACCCAGTAGTGTTCAGCATCATGCAGTTTAGTGTCCATGTCTTTGTGGGCTTTTGGGAAGTTTTGTTGGTGTTGATACTTATTTTTATTCCACTGTGGTCTAAGAAGGTGCTTGGCAATATTTCAACTTTATGGAATTTGTTTATGCTTGAGTTATGGCCAAGGATGTGATCGATCTTGAAGTACATTCCATGTGGTGGTGAGTAGAATGTATATTCTGTGGTTGTTGGGTGGAATAATCTGTAGGTATCTATTAAGTACATTTGGTCAAGCGTCAAGTTGAGGTTCTGGATCTCCTTGTTGATTTTTTGCCTCAATGCTCTATCTAGGGCTGTTAGTGAGGTGTTCGAGTCCCCAGCTATAATAGTGCTAGAATCAGTATCTTTTTTCAGTTTGCTTAGTAGTTGCTTTATAAATGCTGGTGCTCCAGTGTTGGGTGCATATATGTTTAGGATGGATATTTCTTGTTGATTGATTGAATGTTTTATCATTATATAGTATCCTTTTGTATCTTTTTAAATTTTTGATAGCTTAGAGGTTGTTTTGTCTGATATTAAGATCGCGACTCCTGCCTTCTTTTGTGATCCATTTGTCTGGAAACTCATTTCCCATCCTCTAACTTTGAGTCTATGTGCATCCCTTGTGGTGAGATGAGTTTCCTGGATGCAGCAAATTATTGGGTCATGGTTTCTTATCCAGTTCGCCATTCTGTGTCTTTTCAGTGGTGCATTTAGTCCATTCACATTCATGCTGATTATTGAAATGTGATTGTTTACCCCTGTCATGAGGTTCTTATAAAGTTTTTTCTTTGTTTTCTTTTAGCTTTGGGGTAGATGTATATGTGTTTTTCAAATTTGCTGTTGTGATGTATTCTCTGCTGAGTCTGTGACTGCTGTTCTCTTGGGAAGTATGTGGTCATTCTTTTTTTTCTTTATTCTGTGCTTAATAACTTTTTAAGTGTCTCCTATAGAGCTGGTCTGGGGAAGCTGCATTCTCTCTTAGGGATTGGATGTCTGGGAAGGATTTTCATCCTGATGAAGCTGAACTTGGCTGAGTAGGAAATTATTGGTTGAAATTGTTTATCTTTGAGGACTTTAAATATTGGACCCCAGTCCCTTCTTGTTTGGAGTGTTTCTGCCAGTAGGTCTGCTGCTATTCTGATTGTTTTTCCCAGGTAGGTAGTCTGTGCTTTCTCTCTTGCTGCCTTTAGGATTTTTTCTTTTGTGCCTATTTTGTGTAGGCAAATTACTATGTGTCTAGGGGTTGGTCTTCTCATTTGATGTCTTGTGGGGGTTCTCTGTGTCTCTTGTGTTTGGTCACATCTGGTGAGATGGGGAAAGTTTTATTTGATTATCTCTTGGAATACTTGCTCCAAGGTGTTCTCCATTTCCCTTTCTTGTTCTGAGCTACCAATTGGGTATAGGTTTGTCCTCTTGATATAATCACACATCTCTTGTAGGCTTTGTTCTTTCTTTCTGAATTTTCTTTCTATGTTTTTGACAGATCAGGTTAATTCCATGTTCTGGTCTTCACGTTCTGAGATTCTTTCTTCTGCTTGATTAATTATGCTTTCCATGGTTGTTATCTTGTTATTTATTTCCTGAGTGAAATTTTTTATGGCCAAAATCTCTGTTACAAGTTCTTTCAGTGTTGCGTCTTGTCTTTCTTGAGTATTATTCACTCTTTCCATCCATTCCCTAATCTCTGTCATATTCTGGGCCAGTTACTGGTGACTTCCATTGTTTGGGCTCTGAGGTCTTATTTTTCAGGAATTTTCTCTTTGTTACACTTGAAATTACCTGTGGTCTTCTGTTGGTTTTTCTTTCTTTTCTCTTTTCTCTTTAGTTCCATTATTGAGTGGCAGTGGGAGAGGCCTTCACTTCTGATGTTTGCTCAGCCCTCTATTCTTCCCTGATCCAGGTTCTGGATTTGTTCTATTTATTTATTTATTTTTGAGTTGGAGTCTCACACCATCACCCAGATTGGAGTGCAGTGGCATGCTTCCAGCCATTGCAGCCTCAACCTGCTGGGCTCCGATGATCCTTCCACCTCAGCCTTCTGAGTAGCCGGAATTACAGGCACGTGCTACCATGCCCAGCTAATTTTTGATTTCTTGTAGAGATGAGGTCTCACCAAGTTGCTCAGGCAGGTCTTGAACCCACGGGCTCAGGCAATCTACTCATCTCGGCCTCCCAAAGTACTGCGATTACACGCTAAGCCACTGAGCCCAGCCAATCTGTTCTATTTTGAAACAGAACTGTGGGTGGGAAGCTCTACAGTCTCACTGATCTCTTTGGAGGTTCTCCTTGTCCTTTTCTTGCCACACCCTTTGTCCCGTGGCTAGACCAGAGTAGGGGGTAGGGCGCCTGAGACTTGGCACTCTGAGTCTCTGAGACCAGAGTAGGGGGTAGGTCCCTCTGAAGTTTGTGCTTTCAGGATATTCCCTCTGGGTCACAATCAACCCCTGACTAGTTGATCTGCCAGTCACAGAGATCGGGTCTGTTGCTCTGTGGTCAGCAAGTCAGAACTGTTTCCTGCCCTGTTTTCAAGATGGTGGCAGGGTGCCTTTTTAGCCTTCTGCAGTGGGGCTCTGCCTCTGGGCTCCCTCCTCAGCCCTTGCTGCTAGTGTCCAGCCAGGCACTGCAGTGGTGAGGCACTAATTGACACTGGAGCTGGCAGTCTCTCCCACTGCAGTGGTGAAGCCAGCCTAGGGCCGGTAGTCTCTCCCCACCTCTTCTTCCCAGGAAGACTTATGTCAGTTTAAAAAAAAAGACGTTCACCTTCTGAGACCCAGGAAGTGCTAGGGACAAAGCAGAGCAGCCACAGCACCAGGCGTTTCACCAGGAGAGCCCTGGCCACTTGTTCATTAGCCCCTCCTTAGTCAGTCTCTCCGAGCATCTTCTTCCCAGGAAGCGTTTTGTTGATTTAAAAAAAAACGGCACTTGGCTTCTGCCTCCCAGGATTCACTAGGGACCAAGCTGAGCAGCTACGGCACAAGCTGCTTCACCAGGAGAGCCCTGGCTGTTTGTTCCTGAGCCCTCACTCAGTCAGCCACTCAGACACCCACTCACCAGCACGTATACAAAATTTTCCATATATTCACTCATTCACACTGGGACTCGCATAGTCTGACTGGCTTGACCACCATCTTCCTGCTCCTCCACTGCCCTAACAAATTTTAGACTGATGAGACTTGGACATGACTGTGGTTACCGAACTTGACCCCATGGCCACCAGCCAGAAGTTACCTGGAGAGGACCTGCAGGTGCTCTGGTAGCTACTCTGCTCTAACCCAAAATGGGCATCACCTTGCACTTGCCTTTCATAAATGGAAGAAATATGTATCGATTGTTTTTGAACAAACACTTGAGGTTTGTATTGAACAAAAACTTGAGGTTCACAAGCCTTGACTATATTTTGTTTTAAATAATTTGAATTATTTTATTTTCTTAAATGTATTTTAATCTATAGGATTAGTTTTTCTTGGTTATCATCTTCAATTAATTGGCATCCAAAATGTTCCAGTTATTATGGAATGTCCTGCTTCTATGATATATGTATTTGATTATAAAACTATATGTAGTTTCTAAGTTGTGTGGCATTTCTCTCCCTTTCTGCGAAACTTTAGAGTAACCAGATAAGGCAAATGGAAGAAGTAAAGATCTCAAAGAAGAGTAAAGTTGGGATTCTTCCATTTGTTGCTGAATTTGAAGAATTTGCTGGACTTGCAGAATCAATCTTTAAAAATGCTGAGCGTCGTGGAGACCTCGACAAAGCATACACTAAACTTATCAGAGGAGTATTTGTTAATGGTAAGCTTTTGTTGTGTACTACAGAATTTTTGTGGTTCTGTTGTTATTCTTTTTGGTCACTATGAAACTGGGCACAGATATGTTCATTATTTTCCATATTCTGTAGTCTGTTAGGTTTTCAATTAAAGACTTCTTGAATTTGAAAAGTAAGCAGTATGTAAAACCTATCACTATTCATCAGGAACCACTTACATCCTAGGGTTCATATGGGCTTATCACTATGCAAAATCGAAAATCATTTTTTAAGCAAAAAAAAAAAAAAAAATAGCCTTCCAGACTACATTTGCATTTGAACAAGAGTCTTCTGAGATGATAGGCAGAGATGTCTGTGACCTTCAGCATGTCAGCTTACTTCTGTGGGCTTCAGTTTTTCCTGTCTATTACACAAGGGAGTTTATTGCTAAAATACTATATTTACTTTCATCCTATGTCAGACACCACAATTAAGTTACAGAAACAGTTTGGATATGTAATTTAATTTGAAATAAATGGTCTGATTGCATATATTTAGGAATGTTGAAAGCTAAAAAAATGTGGAAGTGGAATCATCTCACCATTGCATGTAACATTATCAGCAGAAGCAAGTCTAGGGAAAAGATAGATCATTTCATGGAGTGTGAAATTGTTGATTTTTTAAAAATTCAAAGTGTCGCCGGGTTCGGTAGCTCAGCCGGTAATCCCGCGCCTTGGGAGGCCGAGGTGAGTGGATTGCCTGAGCCCACGGGTTCGAGACCCGCCTGGGCAACTTGACGAGACCTCATCTCTACAATAAATTTTTTTAAAAATTAACTGGACGTGGTAACTTGCGCCTGTAGTTCCAGCTACTGGGAAGGCTGAGGCGGAAGGATGGCCGGAGCCCAGCAGGTCGAGGCTGCGTTGGCTGGGAGCAGCCACTGCACTCCAGTCTGGGCAACAGAGTGAGACTCCAACTCAAAAAAAAAAAAAAAAAGAAATGGAATTTCTGGGTCAAAGGGTTTATGTATATCTCAAGGCTTTTGCCAAATTGTGATGCAGAGAGCTTGAAACAGTTTAGTGCTGCAGTGTAGTCTCCATAACACATGTACCAATGCTGGATACTACTAGGTATTATCAGTCTCTTTATTCTTTGTCAACCTAATAAGCCATAAGTTATCTTACTATTTTAATTTGCATTTCATTGATTTTTGTTTATGATGTCTTTTACTTTACAGGAGTTTTCAAATGTTATGTCAAATGTATCCATCTTTCCCTTTCTGGCTTCTAAGTTTTGGCCATTCTTAGAAAGGTCACACTACCACAAAATTATTATTTTTTGATTAGCTGTATTTTCTTTAGTACTTATGATTGTATTGTTTATTTGGTTTTTACATTTTTAAGTACTTTGGCAATTTAGAATTTGGCTGCAAGATATTAAATAGAAATCTAAATTTAGTGTGTTCAAAAGATCGAGCATACTGTCCTACACATTTTTAATAATTTATCATTTCTCCACTGACTCGAAAGCCACCTTTATTATATAAAAATTTCCATATATACATGGGACTGTTTTAGGTTGACTTTATTACACTCAGGTAGTTGGGAAGACCTTCCAGTCAGTAAATTTTATTAAGTCCAGAAATGTGCATAATTCTGAAACTTACAAATGGAAAAAAATTAAACATTTAAATGCTACAGCCAAATATGGTCATACTCATATCGGAGATGTTATTTTATTGTTTTTTTCTGTTTTGATTTTAGTGGAGAAAGTAGCAAATGAGAGCCAGAAGACCCCCAGGGATGTGGTTATGATGGAAAACTTTCACCATATTTTTGCAACTCTTTCTCGTTTGAAAATCTCATGTCTAGAAGCTGAAAAAAAAGAAGCCAAACAAAAATACACAGATCACCTTCAGTCTTATGTTATTTACTCTTTAGGACAACCTCTCGAAAAACTAAATGTAAATATATTTTCATTCAGTGGTTTTTCCTGGTTTTGAACCTGTATACATCTGTTTATATAAGAATAACAGACAGACTTTTACCTTAAATGTTCTTGTGTATTGACATGGGGGGAGAAGGGAGAAGGGACACAGCTGTTAAAGTGGCCAGTGTGCCAGACACTGCCAGATGCTCTAGACGTTACTTCTTTGGTCTTTACTTTATTTCATTTACAATTGTGTGAAAAGAAATGTAAAAATTTGCATGATTGTCTATTATATTTTAACAACAATTGATTAATGGTATTATTTTTCTGTTATCTATACATTGTTTCTTTTCATTCTTACTAACAATGATGTGAGCCAAGATAGTATAATCCCTGTTTCACAAATGAAGAAACTGAAAATAAACAGACTTGCCTGATATTATAATTGCTTATAAATAACAAACCTGGGGTAGGAACCTCGATTAGGCTTTTCCATTATACCAGACTCCTTCCTATTTTTTACTTTAAAATGATCAACACTTTCACCTAACTTAGGTGAAAATTTTAAAAACATTATCAAGATAAAAAGAAAACCGAAAATTGTTTTGTACATTGCATTTTGCTTTCCTTTCCTGACTTGAGTCATTTTCCAGAGAAAGTCTGATAATTAATGTTAAGAAATTGATGAGCCGGGCTCGGTGGCTCAGCCTGTAATCCCACGCCTTGGGAGGCTAAGGTGAGTGGAATGCCTGAGCCCATGGGTTCGAGACCCGCCTGGGCAACTTGGTGAGACCTCATCTCTACAATAAATTAAAAAACCAGCCGGGCATGGTAGCAAGTGGCTGTAATTCCTGCTACTTGGAAGGCTGAGGCGGAAGGATCGCCAGAGCCCAACAGGTCGAGGCTGCGGTGGCTGGGAGCGG